GCGTACAGATTACGGATGAACCGCATAATTTTAGCGAACGAGCGGACCCGGGACCCGGGCCGGTAGTGCGGAGCGTTACCGAACCGCTTTTGAGAGATGGTTTCAGGACTCTGACTTGTACATAGTAATTTTCTGCCGCTTGCCGCAGCTGAGCTTGGCCTTTCGCTCCCCATGTGTGCGAGGTGCATTGAAAAACAATGGAGGACGGACTTCCTAGAAGTTCTGTTCCTTATTTTTGGGACGGGGGTATCGACGTCGATGGCACCCCTGTCACCTGGTGCGGTCGATATCCCTCGCCGGAAGCGCTTGTGTTCTTTTCTTGGCGGTAATTTATGACATCGCAGAACTGAACCTGTTTCTTGAGTGCAACGTCGTGCCGCGGAGAGCGCGGCCTCCGCGGGGAGGCAGACAGGGGTGGAAACACACCAAGCTAGAGTCTCCGCGGCGCGAGGTATCTGCGCGCTGCGTAGACCCCCCGACCGCTCGACGAAGGACAGACTCGGCCGCCGTGCCGAGTATGGCACGTCATTGGGATCACCCGTAGGAATCGAGTCGGCGACTTGTGAGAGATATCACTTCTACTGACTGGCGCACCCATACCGCATCACCGTCGCGCGGTATGAGCACCTTACCCCATTCGGTGGTGCGGTGGCGGCGCGGTGGCAGCGCGTAGCGGGAACCATAACATGCAAAATTTCTCGTGCGTTTCGGTTAAAATGAGCAGTTCTATCGTCTTTGGTGTGAAAAAATAGCACCCTACCACACAAGTTTCACCAAAAATTACATCAAAATACGGGCGTTTGAGATATTTTTTTCGACTAGAGGCTTCTGCTTTGTTAATGGTTCCGCCGAATGGGGTAAAGTGCTCATACAATGCAGATGTGAAAGTTAGCGGGGGCTTCGCACTTAGTATACCTTGTAAAACGAGAATTTTATTTGTCTCCTACCTCTGGGTTCGAGGTGCGAACCGAGCTGAAACGGAGTCAGTCGCGCAGTGGAGGCGAAAGTGTTGCCTACCCTGAACGGCGGCCCGCAGCAGGCTGCACGCGCAGCGGGTCTCAGCAGGTCTCAGCAGCCAAATCCCAGCCCGCTGCCGTGCGTGTAGTAGTCATTTTTGTATACCCTCTCATAAGGACTCTTCAGGGGCGCTGCTCGGCCGGCCGGCCCTTTGCTGCAGGGGAGTGTTGACTGCCTTGTCCGACCCCTTGTTTTTAACGCGGCCGGCGCCTCGCCATTACCGAGGATTACAGCGTGCTGGGCGCCCCGCCCCGCCCCGCCGACTGCCTTGTCCGACCCCTTGTTTTTAACGCGGCCGGCGCCTCGCCATTACCGAGGATTACAGCGTGCTGGGCGCCCCG